TGCCAAACATTTCAGTTCATTTGGGCAAAACACTTAGTGGGCCGTGGACTAAAACCTTAAGAGAACTTACTGGCATTAGGCTTCCAAAATTAATGGGCTTAGATGCTAACAAAGTTCCAACCAGCAGGAGCATCCTGTGAGAAAAGTTCCACTCATAGGACTTCCCTACCAACAGAAGGGCAAAGAGATGTGGCTCCCTGCAGTCTTCGCTTTATAGCCACTAGGCTCCTCAAATATCTTCTTCAGAGTATCAGGGGACTCTCTAGAGCTGCAGTGTGACGTTTCAAGCTTTCTGCCACGCCTGGCATCGTATCAAACATAAGGTGCAATAAACTGGATGTGGTTTGCCCCAAACGGGCCGGTGGGCCAATCTTCATGACTTGATGAGCCTAATTAGAACAACGGGTCAAATATTGCTCAGTTCTTGCTTATAATTTACATTTAACTTTGCTGGAACAGGGAGAACAAATACAGTGGTACCTCGGGTTAAGTACTTAATTCGTTCGGGAGGTCCATTCTTAACCTGAAACCTTTTTTTAACCTGAAGCACCACTTTAGCTAATGGGGCCTCCTGCTGCTGCTGTGCCGCCAGAGCACGATTTCTGTTCTCATCCTGAAGCAAAGTTCTTAACCCGAGGTACTATTTCTGGGTTAGCGGAGTCTGTAACCTGAAGCGTATGTAACCTGAAGCGTATGTAACCCGAGGTACCACTGTATTTTGCTTGGTAGAAAAATAAAGGAGCATAAAAGCAGTCACTATAAATCCACCTACCACATCTCTTTTCTTGATGCCTCATCAAACAGTAGTAGACAAAGCACTGCTGCTGCTTCACTCATGACAGCACCATAATCTTGGAATAACAAGCAAACTAAGAACAGAACAAAAAGAATTTAAACTATTTCTCCAAGCAGCATGACCACAGGGTTATACAAATATTCAAGTCTGCTGACGACACAATCCCATGCATCTCTACTCAGAAGCAAGTCCCATTGTTCAATGAGATTTACTCCCTGTTAAGCGTGCAAAGAATTGCAGCCTTAAAACTACTAATTACAGTAGAACTGCCAAGTTTGGATTTGCTTTTTAAAAGTAATCCATCTCCAAGAAGTACTAGAAATATTAATTCATTATATATAGCTGCAGGCGAAGTAATAAATACATCTTTAAAGTTTTTGGAAAGAAAATGCTAAAACGAAACAGCATTTAGAAATAGGATTTCTCCAAGGGCTGATTACCTATTCAGATGTTTAATCTGAGGTTCACAACAGTGAATCAGCAACCTCAGAACATAGTGAATCAGCTCAAAATTGTTGACAGAGTTTTGGAATTCCAGACCATTGGTAATTGTGGCCAGTGGTTCTGGGGTCAAATGAATCAGGAGGCAGCAATTTATTTACAAGACCAATGGAGTTGAATTCCAGTAATCAAAAACCATTCAATGAGTATATGAGAAACTGGTACTTAAATTACAGTATTCTTTGAAGGAAACAGAGGCTGCAGTCCTAAGGACTAAGGAGCAAGTCCCTTTAAAACAGAATAATTTGTTTCCAAACAAACATGTGTAGCAGGAACGGTGAACCCATAGTCCCAACTCTTAGAGGGCTACGGTTCCCTCTGACAACTGGCTAATGGGGGCTGTAGCCCAACATCTGGAGGTTCCACAAGTTCCCCATCTCTGACGTGTAAGATTGTGCTGTACGACAGAAACAGATTTTTAAAAAAAGAAATGGATCCACTTAACATGCTAAATCAATTCTATGTAATTCATTAAAAACTAGTTTAAAAGTAAGCCTTTGGGGCCGTCCTAGCCTTAATATCTGAAGCAACAATGTGCTGTTGGACATTTAAGTCTCTAACCGAATAAATAAAATGCTACACTCCGGTAAAGATCCTACCCTCTTATGGCTTTTGCATATCCCCCATTAATGGACCGACAAGGCTATGCACAGTTTTAAGCTATAATTCTGTAAAGTTACCTCTAAATAACACCAGCAAGACAGATGGCTGGTTGGCCAGGGAGAGCCGCTTTGCTGGATCTGCATATGTAAGTTTCCGTAACAGGGTAAGACATGGCAACATCATACACCCCATAACCTGCCAAAGCCAGAAAATGTTTCGTTAACAGCGATGCATTATGCCATCCGGCACTCTGCGTACCTTCTCTCTTTTTCCCCAACCCTCTCTGCTTCCCTGGAAACTTAAAAAGAATTCAAAAAGCCTACATAAGCCCTAATTTTTCACTTTTCTTTTAATATACAGGTCCATTGTCCCAGGCCTAGAGGACCAATGACCATTTTTAAACTCATGTTTGAATATTCAGGTGTAAAGGTATAAATGGAATGGAACGAGTTCACAACATGTCTTTCATCTTTTTCATCCTTAGGGCATTTTCATCTCTCTGTAACACTCACAAAGGCTAATAAAGATGGAAATTTGAAAGACATTCAAGACAAATATAGAATGCATTATCTCTTGCTGTGGTGGCAAGTCTCCGCAACTGGGATGTGTCTCAGTCACAAGGCAGAAAGCAGGCATAACCTGGTTCAGTAGTAACATCTTGGGTGGAATATTACAAGGATGAAGTAAGACTACTCATACCTTTACACTTGGCTCCACTCAAAACAAGGAAGTTTGCAAATCTGAATGAATAGAAGCCTCATATATCACTGGTGCAATTAACCCATAATCCTAAACCACGGTTCACATTCATATTCTGGTTCTGATAACTATCTGTGACTCGTGCAAACCACAAAATACTTTCCCATATTTTGAGGGAAAAGGAACCCATGGTTTGTTCAAAATTGCAAGACAAAACTTTAAAAGTTCTCCCTTCACATAAAGAGGGAGGAAAGCACACTGTGGCTAGTGACCACACCAGAAAAAGAAAACCTGTTACTGAGACTTTGCAGACTGTTTATGTCTGATTTTTTATTAGATTATGTTTAACTGGATTGTATTAAGCAGGATTTCATTGTATTTTTGCTGTTTTGTGCATGGTTTAGCACCCAAGGATTACAAACATAGCGTTTCTTCTTCTACTATATGCCAAAGCCAAAAATGAACATTCTTCAAAATACTTATTTCCCAGCTATACCTAATCAAAGTCTAAATAGTATTTTTATAAGATCAAAAAAAATTGCCCACCAAGAATATTGAAGGCACAAACCTAGAAAGTTATTTGATAAAACTATTGTGAATTCTTAAATTGCAAGTCTCTTTCCCTAGATTCAGAACTATGGTCATTGGTTATTTTTTGTTGTTACATACAGACTGATGATAACAGGTTTAAAGAACAGGAAATTAAAAGATCTCTTCCACTGAATTGCATGTGCTTAATCACTATGTTAAGGTAAGAGCCAAATAACTCAATTAGTTTTGCTCATCCTGTGGAATACTAAAAAGTGGGGTGTTCAATTGCCTATTTTTACAACTGCATTTTTAAAGTATTTAATTCTTATATGAAATATTTTTTATTGAACATACAGTAATTTGAGATGGAAAGTGGAGCCTGAAAAAAGTCACATCCTGTTGTCATTCTGTTTTACCTTGCCATCCTGGTCCACACATTCAGCAAAGTATGAAAGTATTTTGTCTATGACACCCATCTTTTTGATGATTTCATGCATTTTAGAATCTAGAAAGGGGAGTAAGACAGAAATTAGCAGGACTCAAATGCTGGGCACATGTGTTATACACATGTACTAATAATTGAGCACCATGTTTTGAAGACACTTGTGGGTTGCCATATTTCAAAAAGTAAAACCCAGGACACCCTGAAAGTGTGCCTCTTTTGGGGATCCAGCAGCACATTTGCAAACTGTGTGAACACCAAACAACCACTGCAACCAAGGACATCACTGCAGCCTAGTCTTCTGCCCACAACAGTCTCATTTTGGTGGGGGAGGGGACCTGTGGGTGCCATGTTGGCAACCCCTGCTCTGGGCCACACAAAATGTACAACATGGCATCATCGTTATAAGAGGTATCCCATTTCATTAGTTGCTACTCACAGTGAGGGGAACACTCAATTGCAACAAAGCCATGTTTAATGTTTCAGCTCGGCTAGGACCAACCTTGGCTCCTTATCCCTCCCTTCCCGCAACTGAGTATTCTACCTGAGTCACAAAAATGTGCGTAAATTTTATAATGATTTAGAATTGCACTCTAGCTCCCAGTCCCATGCTGATGCCATTTTACCTCTCTAATAGGCTCTTTCAGGTAAGACAAGTACCACTAGTTGAAGGAAAAGCCACAGTGGAAATCTCAGCTTTGGCCAGATGGGCAGAAAGCTACTATTGTTGAATGCCCCACCAGGCGTAACAATCAGAAAGTACGAAAACAGGGTGTTTCAGGGAAGGATGTGGCACCTTTATGCAGTTTGGGCCCCTCAGTTACATCAGCTCAGAGCTGCTAGCAAAAAAAATTACAGGAAACCACCCCACACATCCTCTGCCCTGATCAGTGTGAACTGGCAGGGTTTGGGATGTGGTAGTGGATCTGCAGCTCCACCCCTCCATAACCTAAGTTACAATTGCTTCCGTAGTGTCTGAATTCGCTTGTTTTCTTGCTCCCTCCACATCCTTTTTGCTATTGTCCCCTGTATATTAGATTGTAAGCCTGCAGGCTTTTTTAAAATAAATAAATAATATGAGTCGGTGGGGAGCATACCTATTACAATTGTCAGAATAAATAATTCATGAAATAATCAATCCAGGTCACAAGATTATCTCAAAAGGGGTTAGATGGAGCATCCATCCTAAAACATTATGCAAAACTACTCCCAAGGAGGAAGTAACTCTGTGAACTACTGCTGGTAAAAGTATGTAGGAAAAACACTTTACCTTGCATAATTACAGCTAGCTGCTCAGCTGCTGACTTCCTCAAAACTAGATCAATTGTGTCCGAGGTAAAGATATCATACAGCTTTTCAACAGTCTCAGCCTAAAAATAAAATGATACATACCATTATCTATCTGGAAAAATATTTGCCTTCATAATCCCATCAGGGGCTGAGACACCTTCAGCTCAATCATATAAGGGTTATTTGATTTGATGTTGCTTCATTCTGCCTAATGTTAAGTGGCTAGAGGGGATCCTTTGGGCACAAACACAGTATCAATTTAGTGTATTTTATACTAGGGCAAGGGAACCTGTTGTTGGACTCCAACTTCTATCATTCCTGATCAGTGGCTACACTGGTTGGGGCTGACTGCACAGCAATTTGAGGACAAGAGGTCTTACAAAGTCCCTAAAGTGTGGGGAACGTTTCGCCTGCCAGATGTTGCTGAACTACAACTCCCAACATCCCTGGCCATTGGCCACACTTGCTAGGGCTGATGGAAGTTGTTGCTCAGCAACATCTGGAAGAACAAAGGTTGTCCATACCTGCTCTTAAAGTACTGATGCCAAGGTGTTCGTTTCTGCATATGCCACAAACTCCTTCTTTAGCTTTGCTCTACAGGCAAACTGTACAGCGTGGGTTTTGCTGTGCTTGGGGCCGCATTGGAAGTAAATTTACTTACAATGTAATATAAAAAGTACAAGAATTCCAGGTGGATACCAGTGCCTAATTCTGCACCTGATCTTTCTGACAGCTGCCAAGACAAGCTTGATCCTACGCTTGGTCATTAATTAACCATGGTGCAAACAAAAGCCTCTCTTTGTTTCTCAACTCACACTGTCTTACCAATAACCTCATCAATAACTATAGACATTCCTTAAGAAACTCCTTTACCCCTGCTTTGCACATGTCACTGATTCCCATATATGATCTGGACTAAGGACACTTTGCCCCACTTGGCTCAGAACCTTCACCTTTAAGACCACCCAAACAGACTGAAGTTAGAAACACGGACTAACATATTTCATTGGTTAGCATTACCTGAAGTATCCCTCAACAAGTGCCAGTTGAGTGACCTTCTGCCTCAGGAACCCAAATTTTTTAAATTGCTTATACAGTCTCCCTGGATCTCTTCCTCACTCAGGCCATTCCACGCTTCGTTCAGTCTGTTCGATCTCTGTGACAGCAGATTCTTTCACCCCACAGCTTGTTCTCTCCTCTAACCTGTTCCTTTCCCTCCTTTCCATATCTATCGTTTTCCTCTGGATCAGTCACATCCCTCAGGTCACAGTGACTACCAGGAAACCCACGCTTCTCCTCAACGCTGGCACAGAATATTTTCAACAGCATCTTTCAACACTAGAACCCTCTTGCATTGGGGGATACAGCTCTAGTTCAGTGCTAGCAATCTCTGTTAAAAGGCTCCTTTGTTCACCTTAAATACTGACTCTCTTGCTGAATCTCCCAGCTTGAGTTCAACAGTCTTATCCACAATAAGTAAGTTAGGGATGCTTGAAAGGACACTACTTTGTGGTAGTGGGTGCCTCAGGGTTGCCTCTTCTTCAGTCGTAAGATGAAACATCAAGTGTTTGAGCGCCGTGGAACGGACTCTGAGGAAATAAAAGTATGCTTTGAATTTTCCCTAGAAAACATTTCCTGCTCTTCAGTTTATATACAATGCCCTGAAATTTTAAAGTAGACACATATATGCAGAAATGCTTGGTGTTCAGTCCCCATCCCCTTCTAAACAGGATGCAATGTTTTCAGTACACCTCCTACTTGAACTTCCCCAATATCTTATACCACACTGGGCTGGAGTAGTGTTTGAATATATAAAGAACCAACCAAATGATAATTTCTGGGGGAAACTGCACTGACCAGCTATCATTCAACGCTGATAAGAGTTACTCTAAATGCAACTGTCATGGTCCACAAGTTGGTTTTATTATTTTTCCTACTGCAGCTTACTAATACCTGAGCAATCCTTCCTTCAGATTTAAACAAAGAGTCTCTTCAGCTGCTCACTCTACTTCAGTGGTACCTAACTATGTCCCCCTACTTATTTGCTCCTGCGCTTTTCCAATCAAGTGTCTGGAGATCTACGGATAGGCCTAATTTATTTAATTCTGAGCATCTTGATGGTGCTACTTTTCTCTGAGAAAATTTATTGAGTGGGAGCATTGTCCCTTACATTTTATTCCCCCTTTCCTTGCTTAAAGTAGTCCAAATTAAATTTCCATAGAAAAATTGCTATTGGGGTGTCCAGTACCACCTGCACTTGAAAGACAATCTAGTTCATCTAGAATTCTCTGCAAGAAGCAGGTCATAATGACAGATGTAATGCCAGTCTTCCTCATACACAAAAAAAATATTGCAGATATACTCACAATGGTTTTTTTGAGAACAGAAGACGCAAGGCAGCTTTAAGTCTTGTAGTTCTGGGGAGAATCCCTTCTTTTTCAGCATTTGTTTCACTCAGTGAGAGGATGCAACTACCCAGAGCATCTTCTGTGTCTGCATAGCCCTAAGTGTGCATTTAAAAGTTCACATCGGCCATTTAACAGAATAATAAGTCATGCACTGTAATAATTTTCCAACAGTAAATTCACCCTGAGTAATGGGCAATTTCAAGTTTGTAGGCCAAATTCATTTGATGGGTGATTGCTCAACACCATCAACACTATATGAACAAGTGCTCCACCAAATTTTTGAGAGGTTCAGTTATAATTTCAGAAGACTGGACATGTTTCGTTATTTAAAAAGAAAAAGAAAAAAAGCCTTTGTACATTTTTCATACCAGTTCACAACCACTGTTCCCTTGCTTGGCTGCTGCGTCAGAGGGGAGTATGAAAGGGTATATGGTTCCATTGCCCCCCATCAATCCTGATTTGTCCCACTGTTCTGGCAGTTTCTTCATTTTATTTTATTTTCAATTTTCAAAAGATCACAAACACACACGTTCCAAACTGTTCTGGCAGTTTCACTACACACCAAAGCTGTGTGGCAAACCTTTCACCCCAATTTGTATTTCATGAATGAGTGAACATGTATGCTCACATGTTTCTTAAACGTGACTTCTGGTGTTTCGGATCAGCACTACTATTCTCATGGTCATAAAATGGCTGGGATTAATCTCATGAGAAAGGAGGAGCAATGATTCTACAGCAAATTGAGCTACCAAGAAACTTCAAGATGTACAAGGAAATCTATAACTTGTCCCCCGAGTCAGGATCAATGAGGATTTAAGATGGTTAGGAAGAATAAGGTTCTGAAGAACTATTCAGAAAAATGTTGGATAATCCATTTGAAATTAAGCTTTCCCATTTCGAAATAAGCCTAATGCTACATTGTTCTCCAGCATTCACTCAGAATATCCAATGAACAAGTATATTGATTGCTCCTCCATTCCTTATTTGCCTGGCCGCCATGTTTATAAATATCCATCTTTCCCTATTGGGTAATGTCATTGCTGCTCCTATTGGCAAAGCAATTAAGCTTAGTTCAAGATAAACTGTGCTCCGAGAAGGCGAAATTACCTGAAGAATTGGAACAACAGGATAGAGGGCCTCAATAAACTTGTTCCAGGTCACTGCTGCCATCATCAATCGGCCCTGAAGAAGATACATCAGCATAAAAGTGGCGGCTGAGCACACCTGTTTTAATGAGAGAAGGCAAGGTAGCAGAATAAAGAGTGGTCAAACCAATTTGTTGGTGCCATAAAGGGAAATTAGGCTGTGCCTTGGAAGCTTTAACATCAAATAGTTTTGTGCTTTGTTTGAAATCCAACTGTGGTGAAATACTATCATGAGCCTACTGTTATCAAGTGCAAGACTCAGCTGCCTTGTAGCAAAGCATCCACCCAAAAATGGCAAAAAGAGCTTCCCTGCCTTAAGGTTTAGGGCATGTTTTACAACTGGTGGTTGGCTTTGCTTACTTCCCACAGAGCAGACTGACTGCAATGGGGGGATAAATCTCAGCACAATACCTGAACTTTATTCTATCCTTTGAGTACATGTCAACAAACCTGGTACCGAATCTCTGGTAAGAAACCTCTGATCTGAACGTTTCTCACATTCAAAATGAAGAACAAGCTTGAAAAGGTATGGAACCATTCCCTGAAGGCTCAGAAACCCAACAGTATGATGGTAGAGATTGACTGTGTCTCCTTCCACAACTCAAGATATAGAATAACATAGCTGGGTCCCAGATGCATGACAACAAATGTACTTTCCCACACCAGTCTACCTGGGGGTCCCTTCCAACTCTACAATTCCATGATCACCTGAGTGCCTAGACCACTTCCACATAGGATGGACTGCATCTCGTCCACATTTTCAGGTTGAAAATACTGGGTGGTATTCAAGTCAGTTTTACTCAAGAGTTAACCTATTGAAATCAACTAACGTTCATTTATTTTAACGGGTCTACTCAAATTAAAACTTACTTCAATACCACCCTTTGAAAATTATCTATGACCTGACAGTGCTCTGAGCACCTTTACAGACACTAGCAAATACACTGTCAAAACAAAGATATGAGAGATTTTATTCTAGTAATGCCTTGCAAACTTGTCACAATTGTTCCTTTTACTATCAACACACCACCTTATTCTCTATATACAGTAGCTGCCATAATAGAATATTTCCTCTGCCTGAAACAACATAGTGCCGCTAGAAGCAGTTGTGTGTTGTTTTTTTACATGCAACATAAAGCATAAGCTCCAGATAAGGAGTCTTCAAAAGTTCAGAAAGCATGGTTACATATTAGCTTCAGTGAAACTTCATATTAGATTCACTGAAAAACAGCAGGGACAGTTAACACTATGAAGAAAAGGGCCACTTGGCAAGGCCCCATTTCCCAGAATCCAAGTCCCCTGAATGGGAGAAGAGGAGAATTTTGTTATGATGACATCCTTGGGCTACACAAAACTTAGTCACATAAAAAAAAAATACAAGGTCTTCTTCAAATTCCCCACCATTCTTATGACTCAGTTGAAACATTCTGAGGTAAATTCCACTGAATGAAAGAAAAAACTTTGGACGTTTAGAAAGTCCTTTGGTGTATGCAATACCTCTCACAGAGGATAAGATGAACAAAATGTAGTACCTCATGATGGGAATCTTGAAGGCCAAAACTACAGATTTCATAGAGAACTTTGGGATGAAGCAGAAAATGTATTCCATAGCTGACTGAAGAAACAGGTTTAGTGGCATTATGAATTCCTAAACATTCCTAGAAAGAATACATAAAAGACAGCTAAGTATTGTCTTGACAATATTGAAGCCATGCACAAACAGTCAAGCTATTTCCAGCAAGATAATAATGACACCATTAACTAAAATGGATGCTAAGGGCTGGGCTGTTGGCTCTGTTTATCTGCCTTAAGCGAGCAGCTTTTTATATACACCAAATGAGAAGAACTATAATAAAGTATGATTTAGCAGGTGGACAGGGAATAGAGACAAAGAAATCGTGTAGACACATCCCTCTCCTCTGTGAAACTCAGCAAAATCTGAACGTGCTCAGGCATAATTCATGCCAAGCAAGCTTAACATCATACAGCAAAACGCTGGGTTTTCAGCCCAACACGACTAAGGCAGCTTTTGAAATGGACTGTTCCTATGAGATTACTAAATGGTAGGGAAGAAAAAGAAATCTTTCTTTAGCTTGGAAGTAAATTGCAAGCCATTTTAAATGCTAACCTTAACAGTTTTGAGGCAGTAGCGATAGGCTTCAGTTCGTATATTCGGCAGAGGATGGGACAACAGATGGAGGAGAACCTTCTGACTCTCTGCCTGCAGCAACGGGCTAGCTTGGGCAGACTTCCAGCTACAAACAGAAATAATTCAATACGAAGAGAAATTAATTGCTCTGAGACATGGGCAGCCAATTCGTTAAGCCTTGGGGTGCAGATTCCCCCTAGCCAAGGCACTCGGGAGCTTACAACTAATTCAGTTACTTCCTCATCTTTTGTAGCTGTGTGGTTAATTGCTAGACTGTCAACTTTGGCCACATCCACACCATACTTTTAAAGCAGTTATGCCGCTTTAACGGCCCCGGTGTCTCCCAAAGAATCCTAAGAACTGTCATTTCTAAGGGCGCTGGGAACTGTAATGCTGTGAGGGGCTTCCTAGTAAATTTCCGCCTCAACAACCCTTAACAAAAGTAGAGCTTTCAGGATTCCTTGGGTGAAGCCATTACTTTAAATGTATGGTGAGGATGTGACTGATTTCTGAAGAAACATATGCTACAGTGCACTTTCCTGTGTCAATGTGGGGGCAGTGGTACGGTGTTGGGAGCACAGCTCTGCAACTCTGCCCTACCATACAGGCTGCTACTGCTTTATACAATTTAAAGGGTGCCCTTTAACCAACATTCTTAAGGCGGACTACAGGGATGGTGGGATCCTTGGGCAGGAGTCTCCTTCTTCACATGTAAAGGTAAAGGTAAAGGTACCCCTGCCCGTACGGGCCAGTCTTGACAGACTCTAGGGTTGTGCGCCCATCTCACTCAAGAGGCCGGGGGCCAGCGCTGTCCGGAGACACTTCCGGGTCACGTGGCCAGCGTGACATCACTGCTCTGGCAAGCCAGAGCCGCACACGGAAACGCCGTTTACCTTCCCGCTAGTAAGCGGTCCCTATTTATCTACTTGCACCCGGGAGTGCTTTCGAACTGCTAGGTTGGCAGGCGCTGGGACCGAGCAACGGGAGCGCACCCCGCCGCGGGGATTCGAACCACCGACCTTTCGATCGGCAAGCCCTAGGTGCTGAGGCTTTTACCCACAGCGCCACCCGCGTCCCGCTTCACATGTACTGCCCTGCAAATCATCCTGTGTATCTATAGCACTACGTAAGACAGGCCTGCAATCCTATACACACTTACCTAAGAGGACAGGATTGCAATCTTACTTCCAGATAGGAGTGTATAGGATTGTGTTGTAAGCCAGAATTTACTACTGGCTAAATTTATGACAGACAGACAGCGTAACAATTTAAGTATAGCCTCATATTTTCAAAAATAGCCCTGTACTCTTCTCTCCAGCATCATGACATGGGGCTTTCTTGCAAGTTAAGTTGCCATATGCTTACATGTCTGAGCAAATGCTGAGGAATTCCTGAAGTAGAGGGAAGTGCTGATGATATGGGAGACTTTTTAGGGCCTGTTCTACCATCTCCAGTAGATCAAGAAGATTATTTTCTCCCTACAAAAGAGTACGTATGAATCACAGAATTTAATTTTTTTTTAAAAAAATACTGAAACAGGTCACTTAAGGGTTAATGAACAAGCATTATCTTCCAAACAAGTAATCATTTGCTAATTACAATGGATGCAACTAGGAATAGTAGCCGTCAAAAATGCAACACGTACACCCAAAACCAGTCTATAGCAGACCCATTAATACCACCATGTAATACACTTAAATAACACAAGAGTGAATTTTATTGGCAAGTAGGACCAAGGATAGATCAAGCATGCCTAAGCCTGCCCACACTGCAGTGTGATTTCACTAAGTTGTACAATCCAAGAGGGGTGTACTGTTGAAATAGCATAGGGCAATAGATGGTTCTCTCAAAATACCTCCAATAACCTTAGTGGAACTCATTATATGGAAGGGTGTGTGGCACTACGGGAAGATCATTTATGTCAACACAGCTAAGAGAACTTCTAAGGTTCGTCACGAGTAGCAATGTGATTTTTTTTCCCCACACAGAGGGAACAGTAGAGAAAAGGAAGTGTTTTGGATAGTGATGGCAACAGGTAAATAATATAATATGTAAAACACAACAAACTGACATACCCGTTATCGTCATTATCTTGATACATCTTAGAACTAACCCTATTGTGAACAGGTCTAGCTCCTGAGATGTAACAAGCATATATAACATTAAAACAACTTGATGACATTTTTTACCCATGCACCAGTCAGGCCAAGCTGTCCTCTCTCCCCGCAAAAGACACATTCTCACACTCCTCACTACCCAAGGATGAAAAGAACTCAGAATTGTAAAACGTAGGACCTTCACTCTCTTGCCCTTATTCTGGAACACTGATGAAATCATTCTTCAACAAAGGCTGTAACCCCCTTACACAGTTACACTGCCAAATCACTGTGGTCTTAAGGAAAGTCACTATTTGTGGTCTCCCCCCCCCCCCATGGTTCGGATGCATGGCTTGTATCCACCAGGAGCTTGGCATTCAGTACCGTGGGCCCAATTTTATGTAACTCCCTTCCAGCTGGGGTAAGACAGGCTCTCTCCCTGCTGGTGGCTACTGAGATTTTAAAAACCTACGTTCTGATTTTATAGTTTTGACTGGAGTGAGGGGGGGAGGGTTGCACCGAGTTACTAATACACTGCTTATGAGAGCATTATAATTAAGTGGTATATAAATTGTCAAGAACAGATTATTATTATTATTATTACTATTATTTCATTTACAGGTTGCTTCCCATGAGGCATCCTGAGGTGATTTACAATACAATAAAAACACACAGAGCAACTGCATATATAAGAACAGCCAAAACATTTGCATATATCAAAACAATTTTTTAAAAAATATATATCTGAAAGCTATTTAAAAGGACACCATCACAGCATATATGAAAATCAACTGGAATAAAATTCCCCACTTGGATCACTGAATTCAATGTTTCCTACCTCCTTGTGGACTTCCGCCATAAAGTTACAGGTACACTCAACAGAATAGGCAGCCTCTGCAGCTTGTTTATAGATGCTGTAGTTTTCTGAATTCATTTGTTCCAAATAAGCTATGACAGAGTCATGAATACTTGGATATTCCAAGGAGAAAGGCATGTCCACGGAAAGGTCAAATAAAGCTGCTAGTAAACTCTCTGGTAAAACACTGTCAGCCTTAAGAAAGGGAGGACAGAACAGACTAAGAGTCTATTTGAAAACAAGTACAAAAATTAAGTATTGTTTTTATTATGTTATTTATTGACCATTTGTAAATAATTTTTAACACAAACAATTCCCTCAAAAAAAAAAAGAACATTTATCTGCAGGTGTGCTAAGCTAACATTTTTATTCAAAGCGATGTGTGTGGTCATGAGGTGGTACCTATAGAATTTGAACTAAATAACAATGCCAAAAAGTGATCGACTGGCCAAGGCAAAATCCTATATGAGGTTACAGTTGCAATCTCCAAGTTAGATAAGGCTGTGTATTTTGAGTTCAAAAAGCACTGCACAGGGAACAACCCCTAAAACCATACAGAAACTGCACAAAATTTGGCAGCCCATCTCTTAATGACAGAAGTTCACCAATATAACACATGGCACTATCAGTGAGCTTCTGAGAAGAATTTAAGGCTTTTCAAATTCTGGGCCTAGCATGCATTACTCCACCTCCTTTATTACTTCTCTTCAGGTCATTAATCTGAGGGCATCAGATTCTACACATTCTGGTGTAGCAGGAACTGTTAAGCGATGGTATCCTAAGTACTGAACTTCCCCTCTAAAAAGGGAAGAGTGCACACACAATAGTTCAGAACAAGACCTTTCTTACTTCAAAAAAAAATTATCGCAGAACCCCCGGTATACATGTTGCAGCATTGCCTTCCAGATGTTCTAGACCACAGTTCCCATGATCCCTGAGGATCAACAGTAATCGCAGTCCACCAGATCTGAGGGCACCACATTGGCTAGCTACTCCACCCACAAGCTACCTATTTTAGAAAGTACAGTGGTACCTCTAGTTATGAACTTAATTCATTCCGAAGGTCCGTTCTTAACCTGAAACTGTTCTTCACTAGAGGCGTGCTTTTGCTAATGGGGCCTTTTGCTACCGCTGCGCTGCCAGAACACAATTTCCATTCTCATTCTCAGGCAAAGTTCTCAGCTCGAGGTAACTCTTCCAGGTTAGTGGAGTTTGTAATCTGAAGCATTTGTAACCTGAGGCATTTGTAATTCGAGGTACCACCTGAATTTACAGCAGCTGGATCCACACAATCTTCAGCCAGCATCTTTGCTGTGCTTTTGCAGCTACAGCTATGCGTTTATTGCCCCTTACCATTATCAAGAAGCAACAAAATTAAAAGAGAAGGCCTGCCCCATTCCCCATCAGTATGGGTGTAAATAGAACTAAGGCCTGCTTCACATGATATTTTAAGTACGTAAAAATTCTCTCCGTGCAGGATACATACTGTGTGCATCAGCCCTAAAGCACATCTGGATTAACTGGGATGTAGGCTGAGCTACGTTATTTTCTTTAACCACCAGATGGCAGACAGCACACCTAATCCACATTTTAAGATTTACTGTTCCTTTATAATGCTCCAATACCAAATACTTTAAGACACAGCGGGGTGCTAATGTTTTATCTCAGCTTCATGCATGCATAATCTGCATGAACAGCACAGTCTTTTAATAGTTAACCAATGTAATAAGGATTCCCCCCCAAAAAAACTGAACTCTTCAGAGTCACCTCTCTGTACTGAATAAAATCACCAAGCACCTGCTGATCCCATGTCAAAGAAAACCCCACACATAAAACAATAGTATCAGCTAATTATTGCCTAAATGCTTTCAGGAACTAGGGAGAACATATTACTTGGTTATCGCTAATGAAATTTTACCTATTGATATGATCAAACTTAAACCACCTGCTTCCAGGAATGCATTTTAACCTTTTAAAATTAATCTTGTCTACAAGGAAATATTTATGGAGCACATTTCCCACTTTTTTCAAATACAGGCAAACACACACACACACATACAAATTATCAGATGTCTGGTACTGACTGTAGCAGACTGGACACTTGTCATTAGGGAATAAAGCAAGAATTAAAGTTCAAATTAGATGCATTCATTTTTTGCCCCAAGTGAAGTTATAGCGCATATCACTCAAAAGAATAACGACACCACATTCCGCACTGATTTTACTTATTTTCTTAATATGTATTGTGTATTTGTAATAGATCTTTATTTAATCTGAAGGACCATATAAATCTTGAAAAGTACTTTCTACTCAAGTAAGCTTTTTTTTAAAGTAGTCTTTCAAGTAGTGAAGTCTCACCTTTTCCACAGGGATAAGTGATTGCAGTAACCGAATGGTGAAAAGTGAAACACTAACATATGCCATTCTGTGGTGGATGATCACAAGCTCAGGCTGCTCTGAACTTGCATTATTTTTGTGGTAGGTCATGGTTTCACCCAGGGTATCTAGGACTCCAAGCAGTTTTTCCTTCTGCAAATTAAAAGGAAGTTCATCAAGTTCAATATTTATGAACAGTACAGTATATGACAGGGATATACTCAGTCATTACAGGAGATACTCTTAGAACAAGATAAACGACATCCAGTGAATTTCACACATGTGCTCTCATCTTTTTAAAGACTTTTTCAGCTTGTCCTCATGCTGTAAGATGGTTCCCTACCCTACAGCTCATTAGAAATACGGTATAAAGTTATTTTAGTCTCCTCAACCGTTACAATTCATTGGAGAAGTCTGTTGCACATAGGGATGTGGTTCCTCATTGGGAGGAAACATGGGAGGAATTCTGTGTCTTCCCTCCCCCAAGGACTTCTCCCTCCACCCCCCCCAAAAAAAAATCAGTTTCTGCTGCCTTCAGTTTTCCACAAAATTTCCATTTTTTTCTTGCATGGTTTCAAAATGTTCTGAAATTTTGTGTCTCTGCTGCCTCCATATAACTTTTTCTGGAAAAGTAAGACCTGCTATAGCAGGGCTCCCTCAGGGGTGGCACCCCCGCTGTGAAAATTCCTTCTTTCCATAAAAGTCCAGCGAGCCCCTATGTTATCTGCTTCTCAAAAACAAGTTTATATGCTTGATTCAAGCAGAGCATTCTTACACAGATCAATTGATTAATTTCTGCTTTAAGACTGTTCAGCTGTTTTGGACTTCTAAGGATTTGTCAAATTATTACATTACTAGCCAAAATGGGGGGAGGGGTATAGCTTCTTTAAAATATATGTAAATTCTAGACATAAAATGGGCTAGAAACCGATATAAAGGAAATGGAGGTTTCTAAGCCATTTTTACAAAGGGAAACTCACAAATCCAAGACACAGACATCGGAGATACTCACAAGTTCCAGCCCAAAGAGACTGTTGTCTTCCCAAACATCTTCAGACACGGCATCAGAAATAAGCAGCAGGTTCTCGGCCAGACACTCCAGAACGTGCATGGTCACTTTCTTACTACCTGAGAATTTACACAGGTAAAGGTAAGGTATCAGAGAAGGATATTACAGTAAGGAATTTCTATTAATTAATTTGGTTATTGACATCCACTACAATCTGGGTTAAGACTCGGTTTCAGAACTGAATTAGCCATGAAAACCCTGATGGATATCCTATGTAATGCAAGAGACAGGAGAGCGTCACCCTGTTACTTCTGCTTGCTCTCTCCACAGATTTTGATACTATTGTCCTCCTGGAACAACTCAGTGTGATGGGTATCAGAAGCACCATATTATCTTCTGAGCTTTAGGGCTATGTTCAGCATTGGACAGAGAGAGTAGCACTCTGGCACTTGTAGTCCATGCTATATCATTGTTAAAACATCTGCACTTGGTTGCCCATCTACTGAGCCAGGTTCAACGTACAGTGGTACCTTGGGTTAAGTACTTAATTCGTTCCGGAGGTCCGTTCTTAACCTGAAACTGTTCTTAACCTGAAGCACCACTTTAGCTAATGGAGCCTCCTGCTGCTGCCGCGCCGCTGGAGCACGATTTCTGTTCTCATCCTGAAGCAAAGTTCTTAACCTGAAGCACTATTTCTGGGTTAGCAGAGTCTGTAACCTGAAGTGTATGTAACCTGAAGCGTATGTAACCTGAGGTACCACTGTACTTGTATTACTCTACAAAGCCCTGAACAACTTATGCCTAAGGTACCTTAGGCACCACCTAAACCCTTATATCCCAGCTTGATCATTGTGACCATCCACCAGATGTTGGTTGTCCCCCGAGCTGGGAAGGTCATTTGACATCAGCCCAAAATACAGCATGTAGTGTCATCAACCCAGTCTTATGGAATACTTTGCCAATAGAGATACAGCAGGCACCTCCTGTTTCAACATTTTGTTCCCTGCTAAAAACTTTTCCTGCTACTTGCTTAGCAAACTCACTTAGTGACCTTGGTGAAGTCACTGGCTCTTGTCTGGCATTTATTTGGTTATAGTGGAAAGATCACTCAACTAGATGGAGTTGCTCAAAGCTATAAAATGAGTGTAAAGCAGAGGTGAGGTCGGTAGCAAACACAGAAATTGATTTCAAAAGAAGTTTGTTTTCATGATGGCTGCTGGACACATTAATAAAATTTAAGTTGCTCGGATTCCTAGCAAGAGTCCACAGAATGCGCAGAGATTCACAGCAGGTAAATATGTTCAAAAGCCTTCTGCCGGGTATCCTCATTTCATGCATACAAATTATTTTGAGTTTCATTAGTGTGTGTATATATATATATATATATATATATATATGTATATGTATATCTTAACATTTTGAATGAATAGAAGCTTCAGCTATAGAACACCTGGCCTATTATAAGCCCAGAATTCCTTTTTTAAAAAGAATTACCTGTTCTTAGAAGAGGCACAGCATATTCTAAAACTGCTACACAGAACTGAGGAAGGCTAAGCTGTTGGAACTGTAACTCTAAAGTATCCTCATTCTCCAGTTCTGGAAGGTCAATATGGCCCATATCCAAAGGTGAGTGAACTCTTGAATTCGCATTAGCATGAGAACTGCTTCCACTGCAAAAAGCAAACAAACAACCTTATCAATACACAATACAACTTATCCTACTATTTGCAAGCAGCAAAAAGCAAACTGCATAGGAAATGTTGCATGGCAAATGCTGTAACTGGAGGACCACTTTTGGATGTCTGGTGGCACTTTCTTCTACCTTCTCAATCCACACCTCAAACCCAACATACCAGTGGTGTAGTCTTCTCAATGCACCACTGTGATGCACAACATAGGCAGAGTGTTCCTTTTACTCAGCTTCTCCTACTTTTGGTGAAAAACCTTGCCCACGTTGCTTCTATAATCACTGCATAAATTGGGTGGAAATTACCATAAAATTAGGCCAAGCTATCAGAATACTGCAGCCTTCAGATAGAAGGGGTTAAATACAAGAAGCTGAAGGTACAATCACAAGGCTATTTTTAATAGTAAGCTAACAAGATGGCACTGCATCGCTTTGCTGGTTTACAGAGCCTGGTGTGTATTACTTTTATGGAACAGGAGTACAGTGAACATTTATTCTTCATATTTAAAAAGAAACACCACAATTCCAAATACCTAAAGCCCTAAACGGCCTCGGTCCAGTATACCTGAAGGAGCGTCTCCACCTCCATCGTTCTACCCGGACACTGAGGTCCAGCACCGAGGGCCTTCTGGCGGTTCCCTCACTGCGAGAAGCCAAGTTACAGGGAACCAGGCAGAGGGCCTTCTTGGTAGTGGCGCCCTCCCTGTGGAACGCCCTCCCACCAGATGTCAAAGAGAACAACAACTACCAGACTTTTAGAAGACATCTGAAGGCAGCCCTGTTTAGGGAAGCTTTTAATGTTTGATGTATCACAGTATTTTAATATTCTTTTGGAAGCCGCCCAGAGTGGCTGGGGAAACCCAGCCAGATGGGCGGGGTATAAATAATAAATTATTATTATTATTATTATTATTATTACTACATTTTGCATGCTGTCTGCCAAGGTAATTTGGGACATTCAGAGTTGCTTTGCTTCTTGACTAAAGGTAGTGATTAACGAGCCAGTCATCAAGTCTCTGAAAAGAGACACGTTTTCTTCTACCTGCTTATTAGCTCTGCAGTTATTTTCATTCTTGATGAAGCCCTGCTTCACACAGGAGCACTGAGCAGCCTCCAGGTGACTTAGCAGCTATCAGTTACAAGACTCCAGCCGCTCTGGGAAGCCCATGCCAGTTGGCATTCATTCATTCACAATAACAGTAAGCAAAAAGAAATGAACTGAATTACGTGGTTCATTCAGCATGCATGACCCTCCACCTATTATTGCGTTAACCCTGCATGTATGGGGATCTTAACATGTGGTTTTCTCAATCAGTTCTAAGAAGATGGCTCTATATCTGCACCCCTTTGCCTATGCACTGCTGTCCCATATAGGAAGTCATGGTCAGTGCTTACAGTGCAGTCCGACATTTGTAAAGATTTCTAGACAGGAATAATAGAATTTAAAGTTTCAAGCTTGGTTCTATAACGCATGAGGCTAGTAACACACATTTAAAGTACAGAAGCTCCAATCTTTAATTTGAAACAAACAAACGCTACCGACTTAAATAGGATAACAAGTATATGGTATACAACAAAAATGTTACTGGCCAACCTTGAAGATACTGCATCCCAATCTTGACCATCACCTCTGGGACGCTGACCTGTACGTCCTATCACAGAAGGTCGAGGACTACTACTTCCAGGGGATGCATTCTGAGAATGAAGGGATCTTCTAGCATCTTGGCCATAAGACACTGAGGAATTCTGGGAAACGGTACCTTATATGACATTAATGACAATCAGGCTTTTGTATGCAGCAAGCACATAGCAAATAAGATGGACAAAACTTCAAGAAATTTACAATGTTTTCTATCCAGTAGAATACAATTGAATATAAGCCAGGATTTAGGTCAACATTCAGAATGCACTTCAAACAAACACTGAAAGACTGCTATTTTTGCTACTAAAAATTATCTAGAATAATTCTTATTTTGCTAGGTTTCCTTCCACTATATATTTTTTTAAGCAATGGAAATGTTTTTTTAAAAAACTTGTAAAAAGACTTGCTTTAATGAATTATGCTGTGAACTTTGATCAAATATTTGTCTTCAGATGCATTCCTTCTGTATTCAAGCTCACGTGGTGAAGCTAAAAACTGCTAAGGCAGAGAGAGGCACAATCATGCGATAGCTTGAGCTGTGGATCTGCCAATTTAAACATCAACAGCTATATTAACATCCTATGTGAGGCAAGCAGAACCGAACTAATTATCTTTGCACTATTTGCCTCAACAACTCTCTATTCTCTGTTGTATCTTTGTGCCAGTGCAATTGTGTATCAACACTAGTTGGATACACTATCTCTTGGGAGTCTGAATCTCTTACCAACTTCCTGTCGGTAAATACTTTGATTCCCAGAAAACACACTGTTGTTTCAAGCAAAACTCAGTTAAATATGAAAAATATCTAAGGAGGAACAGACTTCTTAGCTGCAGGAAGCATAAATAATATCAGAGAGGGGTTATGGTTTTGTTTGTTATTACGTTTTGTATTTTTGTATTTTTATACTGTAACCACCCTGTGATCCTCAGATGAAGGGAGGAATATAAATTTAATAAATAATAATAAAATATGCAAGGCAAGTCTAAATCCTGACCATCTGTATTTTCTCTTCCTTCATGTTCACCCCGCCTGGTATCAGCAATGTGGACTGAATAGCCGTCTCCAGCAAACAGATAAATGAAGCATGCTATATATTGGTATAGTTGGATACCAGTAAACATTCACCTACATATATTGTTTGGGACAGCGTAAGATAATAATGGAGTCATCCAATATCTCAACTTGTTTATTGCCATGTTTTCTCACCACCACCACATCTGATTTACTGTTACAATGATATAATTCTGGCTAAGTCAGAAATGTATTGCACTATGTCTCTCAATACTTGGAAGATAAAAACATGAAAACAGTAACACACACACACAAAAGAAGTGTGCAACATTGTGGAAGAAGAAACCTAAGTGGCATCTAATGGTAACTTAACTACTTTATGAGTTGTGAAGTGCTTGTCTGTAATACTGCTACGATACATTTGGAGGAAGTATGGGGTTAAAAATGCATACAAACAAACAAGAATGCAATTATATATACAATTTTTGCTATAACTATAAATTATTTAATAGATAGAGGGGGAGAGAGAAACAAAGTATTTGGCCAATGTCTAATCAAGAGTCAATTTATCCTGATTTAGCTATATCTTTTTGTTGCCTATCCTTTTCTGACCAAGTGGAGATTTTTAGTCCTGTCTCAATCTGTACTGAACTGTGCTGAAGTTGGCATTCTTTTTATATGTGTTTTTATTGTTGATTTGTTTATTATTCAATTGTTTCAGGAAACTTTATGGGAAGCAATTCATCAATGAAATGGGAGAGAGAGATACAAACCAGTTTCACTTGAGACAAAACTTGGATCTCTATGGAAGTTCAGTCTGTTTCTTAAGAAGGTACATAATTGCTGCAGACATAAGACAGCTTGTAAGGCTAAACGGTGTTGTCCATCTCTTCCGAAAGCCAGTGTTGTTAGCGACAGAAGACTCTGAGGTAAACAAAAGTCATCCATTATTAGAACTTAGGCCTAAACATATATGCAAGCAAGGCAAACCAAAAACCACTAACACTTCTAAATGAAATATTTTAGTTAAAAGCATTTCTAACCTGAACAATCTTTGGTCTCTGAAGAAATATCTCAGCAGGAAAGTCTTGCATGATGACATCTTGTAGAAGCTCACAGGTATTCCAAATTAAACTGTGATTTTTGCTTCTCAGTGAGCTGTAAAATACATTTGAACTTTTACTGCGAACTTGCTTTGCAAAGCTATAGTAATCAACTCTTTATACTCCATCAGTGGCATAACTTTATACCTGATTTGATTATATTCCACCCTATCACCAAGGCTCAAGGAAACTTATTTTTTAAAACAACACACACACACGCGCTGGGTGGGTGTGTGGGTGGGCAGGGAGGAGAGGAGGCAAAGAGGTAGCGCTTTCATTAATAATTCCATGCATGGCTCCAGAACAAAAGAAAACTGCTGCAGTTCTTACAGAACTTGCACTTTAAAGAAGAAATGTAGCAACTTTTATTCCCTGTCACAGAACACAACAAAGCTATAATTAATTTCACATACCTTTCACTTGATGAAAGAACATGTCTATCTGTTGTGGTCAGGGATAACCATGGAAATGTAGAAAATTTCAAGGATTTCACGCCGTGTTTCACTGAGGATGGAAGAAAGGCTATTTTTACTGTGTGCCATATACTGAAACACAGAGTAAACAGGTATCATTCAGTGTTTCCATTGCAGAAACTGATAAGCACTCCTATAGCGGATGACTCTTATCTCGTTTCCCCTTCCCAATATACCTTTGTCATTGTTTGAAACCTACAATGCCCAACACTAATTTTCAAAGGCTTAAATGGTAAGAAATGTATCTCAACGCCATCCTTGAAGCTAGAGTTTTCTTTGTTTTGCTTTGCCCTGGATCCATTTTCTAAATGTAAACTAGAGGGGGGAAGCTAGGGATGCAATCTAAAAGATTATTAACAGAAGCCTATCAGAAAAGACAAAGTGGTACATTTTTGATGAAACCATTTTGATCCAAGGTTACATTTTTGAAAAAAAGAATACTGTAGCTATTAGTTCCACCTGCCAAAAAGGGCTGGTATCCAAGCACTTCCTTTTGATTGCATAAAATTCCAACACTGGTATAAAACTTACTTCTAAGTTGTTGATAAGTTCAAATCAATAGTTGAAGATCCCCTCCTCCTGGATTAACTCTTTCTCGGGTGTTAGTTTTTCTGCCTCCCCCTGCCCCGCCCCATGCCACCTATCTTTTCTTATATACCGGATTCTCAATCCGTTGCCCAGGGGCATAGCTAGCTGCTCCGGCACCCGAAGTAGCAGGGACAGGGTGAGCTGCCCAATGGGGGCAGCACAGCGATCCGCGCATCGGGTTGCCACAGAGATCCGCGCACGAGGGTGGTGCGGAGATCCGCCAATGAGGGCGGTGTGGCAAGCTGCCCACGGAGTCCGCCTGGCAGGCGCAAGCTGCACTCTGCCGTTTCGGGCAGTGCAGGGCCCCGAGCCACTGCGTCACTCCCAGAAGAGACGCGTTGCTGGGGTACGCTGCAGGCCAGGCCCCGCAGTAAGTGCCGCCCCCTGCGGTGTGCCATTTTGTCACCCCCTCAGGGATGACACCCGGGTCGGACCGCACCCCCCACACTCCCCTTCCTATTCCCCTGCCATTGCCTAGTCTGTACCTTTCTTTCAGTCACATTGGCTCTGGGATCCTCTCCCTTAAGCTTCCCTACATTAAGGATCTTTTCCCTATCTTCATCCTGCTGCACAGCAAGGCTAGGCCTATCTTTCCCCTCGATGTGAGGTTTTAATCATAGCCAGACTGTCAATTTGCCAAGGAATCCGGTTCCTTCCTTTTATCAATTATCACCTGGCAGCAGCTATGCTATTAGTATGGACATGAGAAATCCTTGCACCCGAATTTCCTTATTTTCTCCTGACTTCCAATCTACTTTTCTTGTATGTTTTGTCTTTTAGATTGGAAGCAAAGGACACAACTTTTTTTTTTTAAATGGCTCTATAAGGTGCTCTGGGAGCCTGCTGAAAAAAACATTAAAAGTCTTAAAAAATAAATATGTATTTTCCCCTTCCTTCATTCCATGATATATCAGCTCATCTAACTGGTGTCCAAGGCTTCCACCACCATAACCACAATACAGGTGGGTTTAGCTATTTAAAAAACACCAATAAAACAAAAATAAAAAGGAAGAATCTTTAAACAAGGTTGAAACTTCATTCCTTCTCATTGGTGCTCAACCACACTAACAAATCTAGAAAACTATCCAACATATGCTTACTTCATTTTTATAAAGTTACCTACCAGATAGCTGTTTTGGTGGTATTCCCATCTCTTTCAAATTATTTCCCCCTTGATCAAAGTATCCAGCATTAGCTTCTTCTGACAATACTTAAAAATATAAAACCATAGTAAGTAGCAGCATTAACTGTAGCTTCATTTTTTAAAACTCTATGGATCATATACAGTCATTTTTCCTTTTTAAAAGTAGATCTATTTCCTTCCAGTATTTTCATTTTTGAAGATTTATACTTTCAAATCGCCAATTCTCTGAAAATCACTGAAGGGATCAGCAGTCACAAACACAGATACCATTAACAAAGGTTTAGCATCTGGGCTAAATAACTTGATATTTTCAATACAAGGCCCACACTTTGCAAAATAAAAATAAAAGTGCTGTGTATAAAGGTGTAACTTACCTATATTAGTCACTGCTGGCAAGGGCGTTTGATAAGACACTTCCTGATAATCAGCAGAGATTTCTGAAGGCAACACAAATAGCCCATCCAAAATCCCATCAATCACAGCCTGTAGGTTTGGATCCACATTTGGACGAAGTTGAGTGAAAAACTCCACTGCCCCAATCCCAACCAATTGTTCCACAGCAGATGGATGCTAAAATTAGAAAGATGATATGAAGTTAAAAAACAAAATGGCAAATTCTCCAAGCTTTTATTTGTTTAAATGTGCCTTGCAAGAAAAAGCCCATCCAAGGCAGCATACAAAAGATAATTAGTTTCATATGCTTCTAATTCCTGGACCCAGGATGGATTCAAAATTCTGGAATGGCCAGGCTAGCGCTAGCTTGCTGGTGAGGTGATGGCCTAGGTATGGGTTGTTAAGCTAACAAAGCAAATGGTTCTATGTTAGAGAGCAAATGGGTGGACCTTAAATCGCTGGTAGGCAGAAAGACAAAGGCCAAAGTTGAGAGTTGCATTGTGTATGTGAGCTAGAAGGTAGACGCAAGGGTGTAGGCTGGGCAGCTGAAAGACAGAGCCATGCTTGATTTCTGTTGGAATCCAAGGCTATATCTATGGGAGAAACAAGAACCTCTTGGAGCGTTGATGCAGTTGTATATATGTGTAAATAAATCATATATCATAAAGACACCACAGTCTCTGCTGTTCCTCATTCCAAAGGAAACACAAACACTGGGTAAGGGCCTTGAACCCCTGGAATCTTGCACCGCTCAGAGATTGGGGTGGTGTGCAACAATCATTTAGCTTCATATGCATAGCAGAGGATCTCAGAAAGAGCTGTATTTAGAAGATAACCGTGTACTGAGCATCTCATTCAAGTCACCTTTCAAAAGAAATACATCATGGCATATAATTTTACTTTCCAATGTTCTTTTAATGCCGAAGTAGCTTTACATTAAGTGGGGTAACATGTAAGTACTTTTCAGCATGGATATGGACTGTAGATGGTTTGCCGTTTTCAAAAACATATAACAAAACAGATAACTGTACCTTCACCAGGTTGCTCACTAAATTCAGAACCTCTTCTTTCATTGGTACTACAGGAAAGTTGAACCACTCCAGAAGACTGAGAAACAGGAGTTTTTCTTGAACCAAATCATCATATGTAACCAAGTTGTGATCCAATTTACACAAAATATTTCTAAGAGCACGTTCTCTAATTTCAGCCAGCTGATGACCTGTTCAAAAAAAATGAAATGAAAATGGAAGAAGTTTCAGAAGTTCAGCTGATACTTTAAATCAGATGCATTGGTTATTCCCAGTAAGTTCAGCTCCGAAACCAGCTTCCCAAATCTTTACTCCCAATACGTGTTAAGAAGGTGGTGGACTCTCCTCTCCTTCATGGGAGGTTTTAAAGCAGAGGTTAGATGGTCATTTGTCAGGGATTCTTTACTTGTGGTTCCTGCAGTGCATGGGGCAAGACCCTTGGGATTACTTCCAACTCTACAATTCTAAGACTTTAAACCTTTAAACAAATAAATCAGGAGAGGCAAATACATTTGGTAATGGTACTACACAGAAAATTTCAGTTGATCCTCTACTCCAGACCACAAGACATACATATCTGCTCTTCATTTCCATACATCTGTCACTCACATACTGTTTCCCCCTTCCCACCCCACCACCCCATAAACCATTTTTTATATTTCTTCATGAGCAACAGCAACTTGATTTGACCTTAAAAAGCTGCCACTCAGAAACTAATCTTTTAACGAAACATAATAATAAAACCAATAGGTTTACATATGCCTAACTCTGCATCAAACTGGAATATATAAGCATCATGGATCTAATTCAGAAAGCTTTTCGATGGTAAAACTATAGTTGAAGACCAGCAGCATAGTGTCAGTTGTAGGCCACTGGGGTGGGCGCACTCCGGGCGGCGGGCATCAGCCCAGCCCTCTCTGCTGAAGTGACCCCACACCCACCAAAGCAAAGCAGGGCATGCTGAACCACCTGCACAGCCATGCAGAGAGGAGCCCAGCTGGCCAATGCAGCCATTGGTGGGCAGAGAGGAGCATCAGGCCACACTGGGGGTGCCTGGTTTGCCCCAGCCCTCCTGGCGCTCCCCACACTATGACTCTGGTGAAGACTTTGATTATAAAACTAAACACACTTCCTACAGTGCCCTATTTACTACAATGGTAAAAATGCCTAACGAGACACAGGATCGTGCTGGGTATTCCCTAATCAGAGTCGCTGGGATGGGATAAAAATAATAAAATTATTGTTGTTAGGTTTGTTTTCAAACACAACTCAATAAGCACAGTTATGTAATGATCTTTTGCTCACTGCATCACCCTGTGCAAACTCCTGTACACAATTTGATTTAACTAAAGTCATCGCATGGGGGTGAGGCAAGAAGAGAAAGCTAGTGAGCATTCATTTAAATGAAGAGCACAGAAAATATGCTAATCAAATTTGCAGATGACACCAAACTGGGAGGGGTAGCCACAGAAGACAGGATTGGGATTCAAGAAGATCTTAACAGATTGGAGAACTGGGCCAAAACTAACAAAAGGATTTTCAATAGGGACAAATGTCAGGCTCTACACTTTAGGCAGGAATAGCCAGCTGCACAAATATAAAGACGAGGGACACCTGGCTTGCCAGCAGCACATGTGAAAAGGATCTACGGGTCTTGGTAGACCACAAGCATCACATGAGTTAGCAGTGTGATGCAGCAGCAAAAAAAAACCCCAATGCTATTATAAGCTACATCAGCAGTAGTATCCAAATCAAGTCACTGTAGTCTGCCTTGGACAGACCACACACATGGAGAACTGCAGTAGCATAGCTAGGCACTGCAAGGGGGCTCAACAACTTTGGAGAGGGTTTCGACCCCACTGGAGAACTGTGTCCAGTTCTGGGCACTACAATTTGAGGATACTGAAGAGCTGGAACGTATGCAGAGGAGGGCAAGCAAGAGGATGGAGGGTCGCTTGAAGGAGCTGGGAAAAGAGGAGATGCGATAGCTAGCTTCAAGTATCTAAAAGGCTGTCACACGGAGTTTGGAGCAAGCTTGTTTTCTCCTACTCCGGAGGGTAGGACCAGAAGCAACGGATTCAAGTCACCAGAAAGTGGAACAGCCTCCCCACAAGAGGTTGTGGACTCTTCTTCCTTGGGAAGTTCTTAAGCAGAGTTTGGATGGCCACCTGCCAGGGATGGATGCTTTAGCAGAGATTCCAGCATTGCAAGGGGCTGGACTAGACGACCCTCGGGATTCCTTCCAACTCTACAATTCTAATATTCGCTCCTTAGGGAGTGAATTCCGTGTGTGTGTGTGTGTGTGTAGATTCACTCTCTAAGGAGCGCGCGCAGGAAGGCAGACTCAGACTGCAGCCCTGCGCGCATTGAGCACGGAAAAAAGCAGCAGCTGCGCTCTGGAGGAAAGTTTCCCTCTGCCGCCGCTTATCCCGGCGCCCCTGGAAGCAGCGGCTGCGGCTCCAGCGCGCTCGTCTCCGCTCGCCAGAAAGGGAAGGGGGCTTCGGAGGATCCACCACTTACGGAGCTTCCGGACGAACGGCGACAAGGACAGCTCCGTCGGAGGAGACGACGCGGCGGCGGCGGAACGCGCTGCCATCGCCGCCGCCACCGCCTTCCCTCAGCGGCCCCACATTCAACCACCGCGCCGCAAGCGAGCGCGAACTTGCGAGAGGCGGGGTTGGGGAACGGAGCGGCGGCGGGCCATCTCGCGAGAGCAAGTGGCGAGAACGGTTGCCCGAAAGGAGCCCCTGGGAGCTGTAGTCCTTTCTTCGCCTCCCGTTCCCTTAATGGCGTGCGGGGGTGGCGGAAGTGGAGCTTTCTCTCGTCGGCCAGGTTTGCGTTCTCGCGAGCCTTGAGCCGAGGCTTCCGGCTGATGAGGGTTTGCCGTTGCCTGGGAAACAAGCCGCTCAGCCCGCTCCCTCGTTTGCTCGCCCGCCGCCGTCTCTTGAGCGGCGGCTGTGTCCGAGTCCCGCCTCTTCTCCCGCGCCTCTTCTCCGGGGGGGGGGGGAGGAAGCTGCGCTTAGCTTCCAGAGGCTGCTGCTTCCTTCCCGTCCCCTGACAGTGCGACTCCATGTGTGTTTATTTGGACGCCAGTCCTGCTGAGTCCAATGGGACTTCGGCGCAAAAGTCACGAAGTGTAGACATATTAAAAGAAAAGAGTCGATTCACTGCTCTTACTAAGGCCACACTCATACCTCCGCTTACTTGGGAGTTGTGAATTCACTTTTTAATTTACCTATTATTATTAATAATAAGAATGTGCTGTGCATTCCACGATCGAGACAATTCCAATGTAACTATCCAACCTCCCAACATTTCCACACCTCTTGTGATGGTTTGACCCCTTTCCGTTCTAACAGTGCAAATTCTACAAACACTTTCCATATCTGCTCAAAATCATTTCTCTTGCGTATTCCCCGTCTAACCTTAATGGCACATGTTAATTTATCATTAATACTGTAGCTTTATTCCACACCTTTTTATACCATTCTTCCGTTTTATATTCTGCTTGCCCCCTTCCACTTCCTAGCTATCATAATCTGTGCAGCTGTCAATAAATTTGTGAGCAAGTCCTTCACAGCCTGCGAACCTTCCACCGCATTGCAAATTGATACTAATGCTACCTCCTATAAATTCACTTCTGAGTAGGCACCGTTAGGACTGTGCTGTGTGTTTAGATTGCACATGCAACCTCCGCAAATGGCTCTGGATTTTACACTGCTGTCGACTTGCTACCATTTTGCCCTGCACTATATAGTCAGCTGTCTTGGGTAACTCAACTCTCTCTGGTCCGTGTGTGTGGCTTGCTCAAAAAGCTGACTGACTGCATGTAGTCATGTCATTGAACCAGATATTCCATGGGCAGCTGGATAGCTTAGTTGGTTAGAGCACGGTGCTGATAACACAAAGGTTGCAGCTGCATATTCCTGCATTGCAGGGGGTTGGACTAGATGATCCTCAGGGTCCCTCCCAACTCTATGATTCTGTCCTGTTTTACAGCCCAAAGCTTCAAGTTGCAGACAAATATACAACCACAATCCGCTGACCTGTGGAAAAGCCACTTCTCGCAGGGAATGGAAAAGTTACAGGAAGCAGCATTTAATAAATATATTCTTCACTGTTATTATTTATTACCGTCCTCAATCCAAGGATAACAGTGCAGTTTGCAATATAAAAAACACAAAAATATGTAACATAGTAACAAACAGAAACACTACCCCACCACACACAGAGATAGAAAACACTGCAGATTGAAACATCTGGTTCTTGCTGGAAGCAGCTGTTCCTGATTCATAGGAAAGAGGTTACTGAACTGGAACAACATTGTGGTCTGGTATGATATCACGTGGCCAGAAACAAGTTAGCAAATGCTAAGACTGTTGTAATGATCTTCTGTATGATTGTTACCCCAATGTCCAAGACTTCTGTGCTGTTTTGAATAATAATAAAAAAGGTTTATTTGGCTATGTTAGAAGAAAGAGGAAGAACAAGTAGTAAGTCCCTTGCGTGGAGAAGATTGAGAAATGCTTTTGGGTAACAGAGAAAAAGTGAAATTGTTCAACACCTACTTTCCCTCTGTCTTCACCCAAAAGGAAAGCAGTGCCCTACCTGATGATAACAGAATAAAATATGCAAGGAGGGAACTGCTGCTCAAGATAGGAAAAGTGATGGTAAGGAAACACCTAGCTACCTTAAATGAATTTATATTTCCAGGGCCTGACAAGCTGCACTCAAGGGTACTAAAGGAGCTTGCAGGTATAACATGAGAGCCTCTGTCTATAATCTTTGAGAATACAGTGGTACCTCTGGATGCAAACGCAGTGCCTATATGCACGTGCGCAGGTCACGATTCGACGCTTCTGCACATGCACGTGACATCATTTTGAGCGTCTACACATGCGCGAGCGGCAAAACCCGGAAGTAACGCGTTCTGTTACTTCCGAGTCGCTGCAGAGCGCAACCCGAAAATGCTCAACCTGAAGCTACTTTAACCCGAGGTATGACTGTACTTGGAGAACAGGTGAGGTCCCAGCAGACTGGAGCTGGACAAATGTCCCAATCTTCATAAGGGAGGAGGGGAGAGAGAGAAAACCCAGGTAACTACTGATCAGTATGCCTGACATAAATCTATTCTAGGGCTCTTTATAGACCACAAGCTTAACATGAGTCGACAGTGTGATGCAGCAGCAATGAAAAAAGCCAGTGCTGTTCTAAGCTGCATCAACAAAAGCAGGGAACTAATAGACCCGCTCTATTCTGCCTTGGTCAGACCACTTGTCTAGTTCTGGACACCAAAATTTAAGGAGGATACTGACAGGCTGGAATATGTGCAGAGGAGAGCTACTAAGATGATAAATGGTGTGGAAACCAAGCCTTCTAACAAATGGTTTAAGGAGCTGGGTATTCTTAGCCTGGAAATTGGGTCCTCCCTTAAAGAGGTATTGCAGTGAGACCTGGAAAACTGACACCCTGTGTTGTGGGTGGGTACGTTTGGACAGCCACAACACCTGATTGGTAGGTCCCTCGAAGCTGGGTGTAATCTGGCCAATGGGACACAGTCCAAACAGTTCGAGGGACCTATTTATGCCCATGTACGTGACCCAGAGCTTCCTCTTTCGGCACGTGCATCTGGAACACCCGCTCACCTCTCCCTACTTTTAGGGCTTTGCGTTTGACCTTGCTGTGCCATCGTGTGTTGTCTGTCGTTGGGACAGGGGCATGGCAGGAATTTTCCCCTCTTGGCTGATTGGCTGTTGCTATTTGGGTTTCGCTTGCCGCGTAGCAAATCGTCACAACTTTCAAGGTTGCGGATAGGCTCTGGTTCAGGTGATAGGGATGGGAGAATGCTCTCGCCATCCCTATGTGAAGGGTATTCTGTTAAAGGCATCCAGGGACTCGATGGTTTGGACAACCCCTGTGAGGGGGTTGTGCCCGTGCCTGAGTCCAGGGGGACATTTGGGTGGCAGAGTTAGCCCATTCCCAGCTTTCCGCTTATCCAGGTGTTCACCCTTGGCTGACCTATGCTGGAACCTGGGTTAGCGCTTACCTGTATGGCAGGGAGCTAGTCGAATCAGAGCCTATGCAACCAGTCACTTTCTGTAATCAATAAAGTTGTGGCCTAAATTCTGCCAAAACCAAAAACCAAAATTTGAGTCAAGTGTGAATTTATTTAAGGGGGAGGTTTCTGGGTCTGAACACGCAAAAGAGAAGACAAAGGAGATATGATAGCCATATCTAAAATGCTGTCACACAGAGGATGACCAAGCTTGTTTTCTCCTGCTCTGGAGGCTAGGACCCAAACAAATGGATTCAAGTTACAAGAAAGGAGACTCCAACTGAACACCAGGAAGAACTTTCTGACAGTAAGAGCTGTTTGACAGTGGAACAGACTGCCACGACAGGTGGTGGACTCTCCTGGGAGGTTTTTAAGTAAAGGTTCTTCACTTCTTTCCCCTTGTTTCTGACTTTCTTCATTTTGATGAGCTTGTTTTGTGCTATGACCTTTCAGAGTGAGGCTGCAAGCCTACACCAACATACCTTGGAGTTAGGACCTACTGTACTCAGTGCGAATTATTAGAGTAAACATGCCTAGAATTGTGCAATGAATGCAGTGCTTTTTCTGGGGCGGGGCACAGGGGTACACATACCCCTAAACATTTTGTGAATCTACATTTGGCCTCATTGAGTGTCAGTATTTCAATATGAGTAGGAAAATGAGAGTACCCCCTAAAAATATTTTTTAAGAAGAAAAAAAAAGAACTGTATTTGCAATCATCTCTCCCTTGAGTCCTTGTTTTCTATAAATAATAGCCAGGATCCAAAGAAATGTTTATTTCTGTATGGTCAATAGGGTTTTTGGTATGTTTATTGAACAGTAGCACTCCCTTTATACTGCATGGCAAACTACTTTTGAATATAAAGTGGATTTCAAAAGTGTGTATGGTGTGCAAAGGGTGTAAAAATTAAAATATCTGGGCTGACCTGGTTTGCATGTAGCAGTAAGCCGAACCACCGCTTACCTCAAATGAACAAACACTCAGGTTCCTGGAGAGAAGACTCTGGCCATTTTGGTCCTTCTCCAGTCTTGCTGCTGTGAGCTAAGCCATGGTTTGACTTAGTGTTGCCTCCGATTCCAGGCTTGTGGTTTACCTAAGCTGTAGCCAAGTTTGTTCTGTGGCTCACCACCACTTTTGGTTTGCCTGGGGCAGATAAACCACAACCCCCAGATTTAGACATAATGCCGAGTCAAATCATGGCTTAGCTCACAACAGTGTGACAGCAGCAGTGTCTGGAGAAACATAACAGCTGCAATCTGTCCAGGGGCCCACACATTTGCTCATTGATGCTAAACCATGGGTTGGCTTAGCGTTATGAACTGGGCCACTGTCTGGATTGTAGACAATTAAATAAAAGTTTTAGAAAACACAGTTCAGTTTCTGGATAAAAGAATACAAAGGAATAGTAGTGATGTTATGATGAAATCAGTTCAGTGTTGCTGTAATAGAAAGGCGTTCCCTGTTCCTGTTGCCAACTAGGGTTTACTTTCAAAACTATTACAGTAGTTGAATATGGGAAAGTACACTACATCCATGCAAAGAGAGTGGAAATACTAACATATTAATGTAGTGCAGATTTTAGATAGTAGGGCTGAGTATTTGTTGACATGAAGTCACTGCCCTGTAGCGAAAACAGAAGCTGCAAAGGACATTTGTACTAGAAGATAGAACAGAAACCGTCACAGCCCCTTTGTACTTCTTTGTGAGTAATGGCTATTTTATTAGGAGC